ATGTAACATCCCAGCCTTCAGCTGGCTCCAGAAACACTGCACCTGCATGTAACATCCCAGCCTTCAGTTGGCTCTAGAAACACTGCACCTGCATGTAACATCCCAGCCTTCAGCTGGCTCTAGAAACACTGCACCTGCATGTAACATCCCAGCCTTCAGCTGGCTCCAGAAACACTGCACCTGCATGTAACATCCCAGCCTTCAGCTGGCTCTAGAAACACTGCACCTGCATGTAACATCCCAGCCTTCAGCTGGCTCCAGTAACACTGCACTTGCATGCTACTCTGTCATGAATATTCTATCAAATCTTCAGAGACAACCAGCAGATCAGTCTTTCCAGAAGTGACCCACCGACCATTGTAGTGCTCCCTCCTGAGCAAACACTGTTGTTAGTCTCAGTGTATCTTACAAGCCTGCTGTAGTGGTGGTGTTGTCAGCCGTGTGGGTGTCAGAGTAGGCAGTTGTTCTTGTTGCAGCCAGTATCCACTGCAGTGTTCTTTTGTGGAATATCAAAAGCAAAACATTGCTACACTGGAAAAAATTAAATCTAAACAAGTAATTTTTTTCTTTAAATAAGTGCATTTTGTCTTGAATTGAGGAGGTAAGCAAGACAGTTTGTTAATGGAAGAAGATGATTTTCATTTGAAAAAGGAAAAAAAAATAGCATTTTCTTATTTCAAGTGCATATTATCTAATTATCTGATTTTTAAGAGTAAAACTACTGATTTCAGCAAATCATCTTATCTACTTAATCAAATTAAGGCTAAATAAACTAAATTTAAGAAATGCTGACTTTCCTAGATAGATTTTGCAGTGTATTGACAGTCCAAGAATTGAGCATGATTTTTAGTTTCATATTTCTGAACTTTAACTTTCAGTATGATCACACATTCAAAAGGAAAAAAAATATATATATATAAGTATGTATGAAGGAACAGGGTAAACCAGTTTCAGTGACAATGTTTACTTTTCAATTCAGTTTGTTTAAATAGCACCAATTCACAAAATGTCATCTCAAGACACTTTACAGAGACAATTCTACCAATTGGAAGCATATGTATAGTAAAGAAAGCTGGTCCTAGCACTGATCCCTGTGGTTCTCTACAGGTAACCTTGGACCTTGAGGAAGATTTATATTTAACTTGAGCAAACTGAAATCTATCAGATATATAAGATTTAAAACAGCCAGCACTGTTTCCTGATTTTCAGAATGTTCAAGTCTTTCTAGAAGAACATTTTGATTGGATTTATCGAATGCGAGACTAAGATGGAGGACAAATAAAGATGCAAATCCATTATCTGATGCCATGAGAATATCATTAGTAGCCTAATTTCAGTGCCGTTTCAGTGCTATGCTGCACTGAGCTCCAAAACCAGATTGAATCTCTTCCAAAATGTCATTACATTGTTAAATGGTCACACACTTGTTTAGCACCTATTTTCTCAAGAATTTTATGTAAGAGAGGATGATTGGATATAAATCTATAGTTGACCAAGTCGTTTGAATCAAGAAAAGGTTTCTTGAGTCAAGATTTTTACTAGGATGCACCGAAAATTCAGCCACTCGGCCAAAAATGACAGAAAAGTGCCCTTTCGGTTTTCAGCTATAGGCATTGAACACCGAAACAACACGGCCAAAACTTGTGATGACGCAGCAAACAGCACATCCAGCATAGGCAAAAAGATCCCAAGCAAACATCACAGTCAACGCGCAGCAACATTGTCAAGCATGCAATGAAAGGACTGAATATACAGAGCACAGGTGGTGGAGTAGAGTTGGTCAGAGTTGAGCATGAGGCAGGCAGGTTATATTATTTTTTTATACTTTTTTTTCCATATTAAACTGAAATAACTGATTTATTGAAATGCCTTGTTTTTAGGTAGGTTAGTACACATTATAGCCAAAAATGCTATGTTTCTAATATTTAAACTAATAATTTCTGTTGGCATTTCAGCCATGGTTTCCTCATTTTTTGTTTTCAGTTTCGTGCGACAATTCTCATTTTGGTGCATCCGTAGTTTTTACCGTAGTACCTATACCTCCATGCCATATTAGGGCATGTACTATAAGTCGACTTGTAGACAAGTTGACTTAATTCAGCTGAGTCGGCTCACATCTGGACATCTCAAAAGTTGTTGCCCCTGGCAGAGGTGGGCCTGCGTGGAGGTGTGCATGTGTCACGCAAAATTGGTTTCCTATTGGCTTATTCTATGGGCTTAGTAGAGCACACACTACCTGTTATAACCAACCAGCACTGTAGCAAGACATATTGTAAGTAAATCCCCCCCGCGACTTTACCTGAGGCATCGACTTGACTCTAACTTTCACTGTCAACTATTCGAGTTGGTAAAATAACTACTCGTTGGTGCCCTATTTCATAGATGTCTAAGCAGTTAAATGTTAATTTAAAAAATAAAAAATGTGTACAATGAGAATGCTAATTTTATTGAAACTTAAACCGTCTGCCTTTGTCTGGTGCATTTAAGGTTAAAATGTGCTTGTTCTTTTTTTAGTTAAGTTATCTACAGTCAGTAATTTAGCCAAAGCTTTTACTTAAGTATGGGTAGAGATACTTTATGATAATGTTGCTTAAGTAAAGCTAAAGCATATGGCACAGTAAAACTACTTACAAAACAATTTTTTTTTTAAATCAAAAAGTTACTCAAGCAAATGTAACAGAGTAAATCTAACTATTTACTAACATCACTGCAACCCTCCTTTAGTTTTCTTCAACAGACCATGGGGTCAGTCACAGATTCATCGATTCAGCAAACAGTAAATCGAATAAATGACTAAATAACCTAAAATGCACATTTCTTGACCACTTCTCTTAACTTAAAGGTCGTAATTGAAGGAGTTGCTTGTAATTTTTCTAAAATGAACAACTGTTAAACTGAAAATAAACAGTTCAAACCAATATGGAAACAAGCAGATCTATTATTTGCTCTGATCAGTGGGGAGAACAGTAGCTTTAACATGTTTGTAGGCGAGACAGCATGCTTTACATCATCACTCATGAAGCCAGTTAATCAGGATTATGATACCATCTTTATAACATTCTGTTGCTGTTCTGAGCTGTTGACCTCTGCATACTAGTAAAGGAGCAGTAACTGAAAATCCAGATATCTCCCTCAAGCTGGCCCAGTTTATCGGGATTTCCATTCCTAGCAGCTGGAATCGACTATTTTCTGTACGTGAAAAAAATAGATCCTCCAAGTGTGTATATATATATATA